CTTCTCGGGCTTCATGATAAAGGAGGGTTTGTATGGGATATCCCTATCCTCATGCTTGCTTATGTGCCATTTTTGGGGGGCCCTAGTTTAGGGTTTAGGGTGCAGCACTATACTGGGGACCTAAAAAGGGACCCTGAGTTAGAGAACTACCCGTAAACCCTAAACCCTAAACCCTAAACCCATAAACCCTAAACCCTAAACCCTAAACCCCTAAACCCTAAACCCTAAACCCCTAAACCCCTAAACCCCTAAAACCTGGGACTCGGGGTTGAGGACTTAGGGTCGGCGCCGGCAGTCGTTTTTATCGGCTCCAAGTTCAAGGGCCGTGTGGTTTAGGGTTTAGGGTTTAGGGTTTCGGGTTTAGGGTTTAGGGTTCAGGGTTTAGGGTTTAGGGTTTAGGGTTTTTTTTTTGAGCACCTTTTTCCACCTAGCAGTTAAGGTCGGCAGAATCCACATTGTGGAAGGCTTCCTGGTGAGCCGCTTCCCTCATCCGTCACCCTCGACGACGTTTCTTATCACCATCATCCACATTGATCGTCCCCTCCAACCGCTTGTAACCAGAGTCGCGTCGATCAGGTTCCCTGGCCCCGTCCTCACTCTCTCCCCCACGTAGCCCCGCATTCATCCCTTCATCGGCAGTCACGGCTGGCACCTCCGGAGAGAACCCTTCCTGGGCACCCGTCGCCTCCACTTGGGTCGGATCTGGAGCTCCACCAAAAGGAACGGTGGTAGCCATGCTGACGCCCGCCTCCAGCTGTGCCACATCCATGACGTCCTCATCGCCCTGCCTCGCCTGGGACTTGTCCTGGCATGTCGCTTCCGCAGGGGGAGCGCCACTGTCTGAATCACCCGCTTGTGCTACCAGGTTGTGGGTCACGATGAGCTCCGCTGCCTCCGCCCCCCACTGCTCGGTGATCTCGTCCAACGACATCTGGCCTCTGCTCCACTTGTCGTAGAGATCTTCGAACTGGCCAAAGTCCAACATCTCAAGCATGCGGGGAATGGTGTTGCATTCAGCTCGTTGAGTGTCCCGACCCGGTTTGACCGGGCTGTCGACTATCTCCGTCGGGACGTCCTCCGGCATGGGCTGCATGTACGCTCTGATGCGGATGTTGAGGTGCGTGCCATCGTCGGGGACCGTCAGGGAGTAGGTGTGGCTGACACGCGGCCTGTCATTGCTGCCCGAGCTAGCTTCCACATCTATGACACAGTGTCGCTGCCCAGATCTTGGGCCCGCCCGTCTCAACTCGTTCAGCAGGAGCCCTCTTTCCCAGGCTTGGTACTCAGCTGCTTGGTGCTGTAACAGCGCTTCCTCACGCACGGAGCAGGCCTGCACAGCTTCCGTGTTCTCCACACTGGCGGCTGAGACGGTGGCATTGGCAGCCTCTGCGAGTGTGCCAGGTGGGACACCTTGTGTGTCGTCGGCGATCTCAAGAGGGCCTCCCAGCAGGCCCGGCGTCGGGAGCACACGGAGATTGAAGAGCACCCCCGGCATGAAGTACTCCAGCTCGTTGGCCCAGTTGGCCAACCACCCTTCATCGGCTTGTACCTGGCCTTCCACCGGGTCTTCCATGGCCGCGAGGAGGGCGCGGAGCTGTTCGCGAGTTTGTTCGGGGAAGCTCCAGGGTTCACATCGTGGCAGGGCACCACGTATCCGCCGGATGTTGGCAGACCTCGTGGCCTTGTCCATTTGCGATAGTTCCTTCTGCATCCTCGCCATGTTTCTGGCATACTTTTGCATCAGGGCCGCATCGTCCTGTTCCTCCTCGTCACCCTCAAGCTCCACTTCCACCATCCCTCCCGCATCCTGGAGCCCTCGTACTGTGCCCATGTGCAGGTGGTTGCTTGCCTCGGCCATGATGTAGCGGAGGATGTCAACCAGGCCCACGGTCATCATGAGCCGGTTTTGTTCACTCATCGCCCGGACGTAGTTGACCGTGTTGTCTCTGGTCTCCACTGAGAGAAAGGCGTGCCCTTCACCTATCACTCGTCTTTCTTCCACCCAAGCCCGGTCGTCAATGCCAAGGAGGAATCTCCACAGGTCAGCGGCGTCCTCCCTGTTGAAGGGCATCCGGAGACGCCTCTGTATGTGCTCGGGGACGTCCGACGTGGTGGGTACTCGAGGCCGTGGCCTGTCAGTGGAGCTGCCTGCGTCTGAGTCATCCGGCGCCCTTCGTTGTCCTCGTCCTGTTCCTCGTCCCGCTCTTTCTTTTGGCTGGGGTTCAAGTCTGCACGGAGGTCGCTCTTCTCGGGCTGGCCTGTATGTTGCATTCTCCCAGTCGACTCCCCTGCTTGTGTGGGCGTCCCTCGTGTCCCCCAAATATCGCACGCTCTGGGTCAGCCGGCAATGTCCCCGTCCTTGGTCTCGGTAGCGGCGAGGGCTGCGGGCATCCCGACTGCGTCTCCGCCTGGTGCTGCTACGCCCTCTTTTCCAACAGTTGGATCGTGGCGCTGACGACGCGCACACCCTCCAATGGAGAACAATAGCCTCACAAAGTTTCGGGCAATCCGCTTTCGAAATGTATTGATCCATGACTGTTCAGTTTCTTGTTCTCGAGGCAGAATACCCGCATCCCTAAGTTGCCTTTCAGCGACACCGATCGACGCCGGAAGATCAGGTGTCCGCGGTGATTCGAACGCGGCTGTAGAGGCAGTCTCAGGTGAGCTGTTTTCCTGAAGAACTCCATCAGCACTGTTGAAAGTGCCGTTGTCGATGTCCACCAGGCGGATAGGCCCAGTGACAACCGGCTGTTGATTGACTCGAATGCCAGCAGCTTGATTCAGCCTAGCAAGAGTAATCTCAGGAGCCTCAGGTAGCTCAATCGGGGCATCATCTTGACGTGGTCCAGCAGAATTTCCTGCTAGATTCCCACGTCGCTGAGCGTTTTCAGTCGTTGTCAGCAAATCAGCCAATCTGATCTCACGCGGCTGTTGCTCAGCTGTTTGGCGTGTTTGTGCCTTCGGAGCAGCAGATGTCAGTCGACGACTCCGTTTCGATGGCATAGGCGCGGCTCTATCCACAACCTGCCCGGCGGCTGCGTCAGCTGTGGCCTGGCGTAGTTGCTCACGTTCTTCCACTGAGCGAGGTGCCTTTTCACGCAACTCCCGACTTTCATGCAGCCAAGAGTGCGCGGATCCGGACACTTGCTCCGCTCGTTCTGGAAGCACATGCAACGCCTGACCCCTCACATTCATTGAAGTAGCCGTTGTAGCAGGCAATCTCAATGAAGGTTCCCAGCTGGATGTAGTATTTTTCCTGTCGGCTGAGGCGCCAGGCTCGTTGGATTGTGCGCGCCGACCTCGACTCGCAGATGGCGTAGTACGTCCAGAAAAGCTCCCTCCTGCGAACATCTCCGAGTTGGAGTGGCTCGATCTTCCCTCGGGCAATCTTGCGCTCTGCGAGCTCACCTCGAATGAGGGAGTCTGGATCGCACCCGATGCAACCACCTGCATACCTGTACCACCTGACCCGGATGAGATGGGCAAACCATCTCCTATCCGGTTCTGGGACACAGAACGGCGGTTGCTGCCGTCCGGGGATCTTCGAGTGCCACCCAGCTCTGGTTCTCCAGAGGTTGGCATGTACTCGACGCCAATGCTCTTGCCGCTGCCCTTTTGAGGTCCAGCTCTCTGCTTCGAGATCGGCTGGGAGGATGTGATATCTGCAGCCAACGGCCTCCCTGTCCGTTGGCTGCGTTGAAAAACTCCGCGTATCGCAAGTGCTTTCGCTGCGACACGAGTGTTAAGCTCAGCGCGTTGGCGGGATTCACCTAACTCCTGCCAAAATTCGGTCGAAAGTACATCTTCTGCCGTTGCCTCCACGACACGCTGCAATCTCTCACCTCCCTCCAAAGGCTTCCTGGATCTCGAAGCATCTAGGAAATTACGCATAGGGCCCTCCTGCGAGAGGGACACCACAGGCGAAGCAATAATCCTGGGTTTAGGGTTTAGGGTTAGTATAATGTAGGGGCCTTAATAATTAGAATAGGGCTTCGGGGTCCTTTATAGGAAAAGGATTAGAATAAGGAACCCTCCAATCATATGATTACAATAAGGAACCCCCAAAATAATATTGGTAATCATTTAGGCCTCTAGATTAGGGCTTGTGGTTTGCATGGGGCTCATAGGCACCGGACGTGCTGCATTTGGAAGAAGTCAGCTCCACTGTGGGGCATCATGTCTTCGGACAGGGCTTACACCAGAACTTCGGCCTTTGTAGGGTTTAGTCAAGCTTTTTCGACTGATGCAAGCGGGGTTTTGGGCATAATTTAAGGGCCTTAATAATTTCAATAGGGTTTCGGGCCCCTAAACCCCAAACCCTGACCCCTAAACCCTAAAAGGGCCCAAAAATAGTATTGGAAATTATTTAGGCTTCTATATTCGGGTGTAGGGTTCAAGGCTTTGGGGCTTTCTGCTTTGAGTCTCTGTGCTCTGGGCTCCCCTGCGGAGGATTGTTCTGGGTTTACGGTTTAGGGTTAAGGGTTTAGGGTTTAGGGTTTAGGGTGTAGGGCTCTCTCTGGGCATTCTTCAGAGGGTCGTACAACTCAAAAGAACCACTGTGGGCAGTTTAGTATGGGGAGGCTTAACAATTACCAATAAATATTTTGGGGGTTCCTTACTATAGTTATAATATAAGATACCCCAAACCCTATTCTAATCATTAAGGCCCCCTATATTTGGGGGCCTCTAATAAACAGGGAAGGGGTTCAGGATGGTTTAGGGTTTAGGATTCCTTCCCAGCACAGCCTAGTACATGAAGACCCGCCTGGCCGCACTCTACTCCCCAACGCAAGCCCACGTCCCCAAAAAATCCCTCAACGCACGACTCACAAGCAAAGCGCGCGCTAACCCCTAAACCCTAAACCC